TGTCACTTTGCGTGTCTTTATTTATTTTGGCAAGGGGTTTCTCTGTGTTTGCGTGTGTGATCGGACGAGAACCGATGCTGTCTACAAGCACAAGTGCAAAATAGTGGGACTATTGGCAAGTTTGTTCAAGTACGCCAAGTTAGTTTGGGAGGCAGCGCGCATTTCGAAAGCGGTGTGTCGCAGCAAACTGTTGGACTTACCGAAAGCCAAAATGTCCGGCGCACAGTCAACCCTATGCCTAACCCTAACCGTAAAACTTATCCCAACATCAGAAGCTCAGAAGAGTAACACGTACAGCGGTGGTCGAATAAACTAACGAAACGCTTAACCGGCTAGTGATACGATAAGCCAGCTCTAAAAATAAACTGAATCGCTGGTGCTTAACAGTAGCACATGCCTATGGCCTAACGCCGACTGATGTAACCTTAACAGTAGTATTGTATGCCTACGTAAATCACAGCTATGCAAATATGGGCAGAATGACATTATCGACAAAGGCAACGGAGACTGGGATGGCCACCTCTGGCTCATTAACCGCCATCGACCAGTCATACCCAACCCTAAGTGGTGCTTAACGCGAGGCTCGAAGCCGCGGCCTTTTGATTAGAAGTCTAAAGTTCTAACCACTGTGCCACGGGCTTGTTAACTTGCCCTGCCTTCTGCCTATATCATTAGACACTGCGTGGTTGCTAACGGGGCTCGAAGACACAACGGGACGAATATGTCTTGTAACGCATTGGTGAACGCCTATCTGCCATGGGTAATTATAGAGGCAATATAGAGTACAAATAGCAGGAAATTTGTTTAGATAATCAAATTCAGTTTCCAAAGTAGCGTGCAATTCGAAAGTAGGTGTGTTGTAGCAAACTGTTAAGCCCACCGAAAGGCAAAATGTCGGAGAAACAGCCAGCCCTAAGCCTAACCCGAAAGCGAACTCTAACCCTAACCTTAAAACTAATCCCAATCTGAGAAACCTAACAGTAACACATGCACTGACCTGGTAAACTAACGGAAAAATAAAATGTCTTGCGAATCGCTAGTTCTACACTGATCTCAATCCCGATCCGAGATGCTTAGCTGTAACACGTGCAATAACCTACGGTCGGCTGATATGACCTTAACAGTAGTATTGCACGCCTACGTAAATTACAGGTAAGTAAATATAGGGAAAGTAGGAAGTTTGTTTAAATACACAAATTCTGCTTGCGAAGCAGTACGCAATTCGAAAAACGGCGTATCTTAGCAAGCTGGTAAACTAACGGCAGGTTAAAATACCTAGTGCATCGCTAATCCTGGAACTAACGCCAACCTCAACCTCAGATGCTCAACAGTAACACACCGGAACTTAAGGCCAACTGATCGGATTCTAACAGCAGTATTGCATGCCTACCTAAGCCACGTAAGTAGTAAACTTCGTAGTCTGGAGATCATGTGGATCTATAGCCTTATTTTTACTCTGCATCTATAGGGTGCTACGCTACCCCATGTTCATTATTTTAAAATGCTTAGTCCAGTCGTTTTTGGAGAGCTAGCTTTTAGAGGCAAGGTTTTGTGAAAGTCCCCTACACTGAAAATTATTTGTCTGTTTCTGTCTCTGGCAAAGCAGTACCCCGGTGGAAACCCGGCGGCCTTTCTGCCGCCCCAGCATCCCGGGGACACAATGACGCGACGTCAGAGTCACCAGTCGGGCTACTACGGCGGTGGACCGCCTGGCTCGGGCAATTCGGTCGCCTCTCTGAAACGTGACGCTCCCTCCGGCGG